ATAATAACACAGCACCCTCTACATATGTAAAAATATTCTTTTAGTTATAGTTGTCATTTTTTTTTTGTGGCATATACTTTGAAAACTGTAGGCATTTTTATGTATTGCTAGATTCCTCGGACCTTTTGATCCCGTATTTCCTGCCCCAGATGGATTCTGTTACCAGAGAAACTATTGTTTGTGCCAACAACATTTCTCTTTCGAAAGAAAAAAAATTTCTATAAACAAACTTTTCTGGTTTCTGGAAGATTTTATGATTCATTATGAAACATCAGCAAGCACTGTTGAAGCTGGATCAAATTTATTTGGTAGAAGAACGTGTTTTGATTGAATATGAATGCGAGCATATAATTTATCTTCCAGTTATTTATATGAGTGAAAAGCCAACTCAGCATGAATAGTCAGTTTCAAGGCTTAAAGTCAACATCTTATTCTGTTCAAGTCCATGCCAGCAGAAATGTCATATTCATTTACTATCACTAAATGTAAAACCATAACTTAATACGTGCAATTTAACTTAAATGGACACTATAGGCACCCAGACCACTTCATCTCAGTCCCCCTCCCCACCCATTCTGTAGATCAGCAAACTTTTCATTGCAGGGTTTAAATGCCTCTATTGGCTGTCATTCAGACATTGGATTGGTTCTCGAAGATTTTATCCAAGGAGGTGGGGGCCAGAAACCTAAACAACCAACAGGGTACTAAAGTATACACATTTATATTCCTAACGATATAGTGTTTCTTTAAAGAATCATTTTCACCCTAAGCAGAACTACTGATAAGGAATCAAAACTTGTAAAATAATCGTAGGGACTCCACCATTTGTGTATCTCTTCTGCAGTTCACCCAAAGTCCCACCTTTTAGAACAGGGGTGCTCAAAAGGTAGATCCCCACATGGTTAAGAACTACAGCTCCCATGACGCTTTACATGCCTTTGGCATGCATTTAGAATGGCAAAGCATCATGGATGCTGTAGTTTTAAAACCCCTAGGCATCTAACTTTTCGCACCCCTGTTTTATAAGATATGACAACTATGCTTGTTTAGACTAAGCTGTCACTACATCATTTTATATACCTACTAAGTTTGGAAGGTATGCAATCAGAATGGGTGCCTTGAAAGGGTCGGGAGTGGGGGGCATGCTAGTGACATATCTTTTGTCACCGAAAAGTGTGACCCAAGACCCATTGGGGCTGCTTTGCCTACAGAAGGGGCATGTGTGAACACACAAAAGGATTACTGACATCCTTCCGTCTGGCCTCAGTTAGGGCAGACTGTGCAGAGAGATTTGCTGAGGCACTCACTGCATGGTCCTAATACTCCCAGCACAACACAAGCATGTCTAAAAATGGGCATGGTTCCCTGTGAGACTTGAGGAATCATTTAATTATGACCCCCACATCTGAATTGGGACTGTTAAGAGGCATGAATTATATCTTGCTCTCATTATGTCTAGAGGTATTGGGTCAGATACATCGAAATGTCACTTTCAGTCTGCCAGTTATCCTGTAGTTTGTCTCCTTTTACATTCTGTGTCTCCCCTGCTCTCTCGTGCTTTTTTTCTTACATAGTCATGATTTCATTGTGTTATATTCTGGGAAAAGTCCCTAGAAGCTATGACTCATTTAGAGACAATATGGAGCCAGCTCACAGCAGGAAGTATTCCTGTATTTAACCTATTCGGACCCTTCAGCTGCATCTTTCTGTCCCTTGTATTTGTGCACTCTCACCAATGGTGATCCTGCTGTCCCTATTGTGAATGCACATTGATGTGATTTCTTCATTGTCCTAAAGTCTCTGCTATAATATGTATTCCACCCACTATGTATTTATGATGAAAAGCCAGATATTGTTGGTTATTTATGCTGGTTGCAAGTCAAGTTTCACAATGTTATGCCATATTGCTCCCTTGGAATTTGACTACGCTCTATAATTGTAGACATCTTCTGACCTGAGGGATCTGTCTGCTTAACCTCACAAAGGCCTTGATTTAATGTACTCAACCCCAAATGATAGTCCCCATACGATACATTCTAACTTCAGAAGTTCAGGAATCAGGACATTGCTGGGAGGGAGGGCTGGCCAGTGATGTGATCATGTCACTGGCCCACCCAAAAGGGACGTTCCTTCCTGGAATTGGTGTGTGTCCACTCACGTTACTGGAAGGTCAACCCTGTGTGAATACACACTAGGCTGCCCACCAATTTTGAAAGGCCAACCCATTCTGAAACAGTGCTCCCTGCAGTGTTCTAGTGCCCTAAACATAGCGTAGTTGTGGAGAATAGTTTTTTGGTGTCCCAGTTTGAACAGCGGGACAGGACCCGTAAATCTGGACTTAACCACCTAAATCGGGACTGTTAGGAGACAAGACATACAATAAACAGAGCTGCATTTAATACAAAGATACATATACCATATTCAGAACTAGGTGTAATATAGTACAGTACTCAAGAAAGGGACGGGCCTGCTCTTGAAGGGCGGTGTTAGCCTTGTGTCAAGCACGCCTGACTGACTGGCAGCCCAAAACCTACAGGACTACGTAGAGGGCAATGCTGAAGCCCTCTCTTCAAGGTCAAGTCCCTGCTGCACAGCACGAGCATGTCTATTGATGCACTGCCTGTGCCAGTGCTGTACTGCCCTAAGACTGTTCCCGAAATCAGGATGGCTTGACAGGACCCCCCAAAAAAGGACAGTCCTACTGAAATCAGGACTTTGTTCAGATAAAAGATAAAATCTCTAATGACACAGAAAGGGTTATTTTTATATACCCACTACATACTTATTAACCCTTAATTTCATTAGAGATTTTGCCTTTAGCTGAAGGCAGCAAGGCGAATTGTTAGTGAAGGACTTGCCCAAGAGGTTTGCCTTGACATGGCAGGTGAGCTTACACTTGAATGTCCATTGGAGTGATCCAAAAAGCTCCAGTTATTTAAATGTGCACAATGATCTGGGATAGTGTGCAGGTAGTTGTTTTTGATTTCTGTTCTTTGTATTTGAGCGGATGAATACATGTAGCCATTGCTGCTGCCCAGGTGTAGTGGGAGTTTAAGCGCAGGGTTTTATGTTGTGTGCCTCTTTGCTTTTGTATTACATGGCCATGTTACAGTGCTGCTGTCCACTCCATGTTTACCCTGCTAAGAGATAACAGGTGTGTAGGGGGTTCACAAAAATTGTTAGTGTAGGACTCACCTAAGCGGCTTGCCTTGATGTGGCAGGTGAGCTTACAGTTAAATGGCCATTGGAGTGATACTAAAAAAAAACCACTAGTTATTTTTATTTTTTTCTCATTATTTTTTATTGAAAAATTTTGTTTTAAGACAACAAATAATCACATTAATACATACATACAAACACACCTAATTGAATCTGACCAGTACAAATAACTCTTTTTGAGAGAAAGAAAAAGCTTTCATTAAAATATATCAATCGATCAAAAAAAAAAAAAGAAACTGGAAGTCGGAAATATTACAATTAGTCCAACAATGATAATAAAAGATGTATCAATGGGAGTAGACATAGGTTTACAAACATATTACAGTGGGTAATAGATGGAGATTACAAATACATATTAACCATGAGATAGTTCCACTTCCCAGATAACATTTTATCTTTCTTAAACACAATGTCTAGGAAATGTATCAAATGCCATATAATAAAGAACAGTTTTTTAACCAAGTAGAATACCAATCGCTTTTTTTTGAGAACACTGACCGATTCTTTAACATTTCATTTTCCATTGTCAATTGAAATTTAATTTGATTAATTAGGGAGATTTTCTGAAAAGGAACGGAAGATTTCCACTGTCTAGCTATAATGATTTTGACTGCAATGAAGCAGTGAATTGCTAAACAAATATATTTACTTGATTTAAAAGGCAAATTAAGATGGAGAAGAGCCAAAACTGGGTCTATATTTATATCTTTAAATGATGCCTCTTTCATAGCTATTTCAGAAAAGATATTGTAGGTCCAAACCCATAGTGGTTTTGCAACTGGGCAGAACCACCATATATGGATATATGTACCCAGATAGGAACCACATCTCTAACAAGTAGAATCTTGAGAAGAATACATTTTAGCTAATCTTGTCGGGGTGTAGTACCATCTATAGAGTAACTTAAAATGACACTCGGTCAAATTTAGACCATAAACAAATTTGTTTACTAAAATTATAGAAGAGTACCATTCCTTTGGAGAAATAATTGAATTTAGATCCTTTTCCCAGGATTTAACCAATTTATAGGGAAAAGTATCTAAACCTTTAAATAGCCTATTAGCCACCGAAACAACTTTAGGTATAGTTTTAAATGAAAAAAGAATTTGCAACTCTTTAGCCCAAGGAAAAGAAGATTGAATAACATGTTTCTGAATATAATGTTTTATACGAAAATAAGTAAATAATTCTTTAGATGGAATATGGAAATTATCCACAATCTGTTGAAATGGTAAAATATCATCGCCCTGCATAATATCCGATAAAGTTAATGTATCTTTATTGGGCCAGTGTCTCAATGATAGATCCTCTACATTCATTTCTAATATATTTAATTTACATGTTTTGGGGATTGAATAACTTACACCCAAAATTTTTCTGATTTCAACCCATGTTTCCAAAGAATGAGCCAACGATATTAAGCCACTAGGCAAATCCGTTGGCAACTTCACAGGATCTGACCATATATATGGATGAAGAGTAAATACATGTAGGGCTTCAGACTCTAATTTATACCAAGGTTCAGAAAAAAAAAAAGGTTCTTGTAAAATATATATATGTCGTATAGTATTGGCATAATATAAGTTAGTAATGTTTGGATAATTTATCCCTCCCTGAGAGAGTTTATTATAAATATATTTTTGACTTATTCTGGGCTTTTTATTTTTCCAAATAAATTTATTTATGGCAGATTGTATCATAAGAATCCACATCTTAGGGATTTTGAGGGGAACCATTGATAACAAATAAGACCATTTTGGTAAAATATAAGAGTTGATAATATTAATTCTGCCTATCCATAGTGTTTCTAGATTTTTCCATTTTTTTTAGATTTTGATTAATTTCCTTCATTAACTGCATAACATTCCTCTCCATTATTTGGGAAACATTGGCCGGAAAGCTAAGTCCCAAATAATTAATTTCTGAGTCTGTCCAAATAAACTGATATTTTTGAGATAGCCTTTCAACCAAAGTCAAGGGTAAATTAATAGTTAAAGCAGTAGATTTAGAGACATTTAACTTGAAATTAGAGATATTAGAAAAATTGACAATTTCTTCCATTAATGGCGCCAATGAATCTTCTGGAGATGTAAGGGTTACCAGGGCGTCATCGGCATACAATGCAATCTTAATGTCTTGGAATTTCGTGGGAACACCCTTTATTAACTGATTGTTCCTAATATTTACCGCAAGAGGCTCAAGAGATAGAATGTAAAGAAGCGGTGACAGAGGACAACCCTGTCTAGTACCGTTTTTAAGATCGAACCATGTCGAAGTAATATTAGGACCTACAGTTCTGGCTGAAGGGTCAGAGTATAATATCATAATTGCGGTGTAAATCCAACCCGTAAAGCCGTATGCATTGAGAAGTTCACTTAAATAGCCCCACCCAACCCTGTCGAACGCTTTCTCTGCGTCCAAAGACAGGGCCAGGAGGGGCTCCTTATTGGCATTGACAAGACCAATAATATCTATAAGCTTTCGAGTGTTATTTAATGCCCATCTTCCTGGGATAAACCCTATTTGGTCAGGATGAATAAGTTTAAAAATGACCCTTTTCGGTCTCTCAGCTATAATAGCTGAATATATTTTCATATCAACATTAATTAATGCAATTGGTCTATAGTTTTTAGGGTCCGTACTATCTTTACCCGGTTTTAAAATGGGAACAATGTTTGATTGTAACAAGAAAAAGGAAACTCAAAAGGCTGGAAAGTGGGAGGGGAGGAAAAGACACTCCCGTATCCCAATGCCGAGCCTCCAGAGTATAGAGGTCACCTGGACTGGTAAAAGGGGGTAACCCTGGAAATTGTAGAAAAAAGGAAGAAAAAAAACCCAAAAAGGGATGTCTTATATAAAGACCGCCCAGAGGGTAAATACCCAGTCCAATCTCAATAGTAGTGTAGTTGCCAAAAAATAAAAAAGCCTTTATTGAAATCTATTAAAAAACCTGGGTAATCAGTGATGGACAGAATAATATAGGGAGAAATATGTATGGTAGGAACAAGGCTAATCAAGAGCCAACCCTCACAAGAAACGGAGAGGGGATAGAAGGCAATATGTACCCCCATACATAACTCAGGTAACAAAGCAGTAGGAAAGAACAGGGAAAGGGAGAAACACACACTCCCAACCAAACAGTAGTGCTATGCTAATACCCTATCTCCTATAAAACACCTTCGTGGGTGTTCTAATCTAAATGCTGTCATAACATCTGAAGCCCCAGGTACACACACATACTAGAAAAACATAAATGAAAAGGTGCTCAGAGCAAAGTGCTCAAGAGAGTATTAAAAACACAGAAGAACCCGACGTACGTTTCGGCGTGACCACACGCCGTCCTCAGGGGTATCAGCAGTGAGCAAAAAACTGTCCGGGTGGTAAATTTATACCTTAAGCTCATAAGCTTTATTGTAATCACCTGTGATTGTGTCTAAATTGCTCCGGTCCTCCTGTGAATGGGGCTGTGGGGGTGTGGTGTAACACACCATAGTGTCAGCCCACATTTCTATGTCAGAGGTAGCCAGAACAGAAATCAGGTGAAAGGCAATTAACCCTTTGAGTGTCCCGCCCGGAACAGATTTAAATGGATACTTACTATATCTAAAAGGCAGTATCCATAGCTTAACAGTTAACCCTTGGAATGTCCAAATTGTATCATATAGGTCAAGTGTGTGGATTGATTCTTATGGCTGTATTGTGTAGCTTTAGTACAATTAAAGAAACAACTTATAACCGTTGTGAACCAGTAAGGGATAAGTACAATGGCTATATGGGCAGTCATACACAGAAGCCGACAATTCTTTTATTGCCACTGTAAATAGTAACCCATTAGTTTATGCAACACAAAACAGACCCCTAAACTCTTAGACCTATAATACAGGTAAAATTAATGGACATATGAACACCAAATATAATAGAAATAAATAAAGAATATATACATATATACAGACATAACTTAAGATACCATTTATTATCAGAATTATTGCAGTACTTTAAATAAACGGGGAATATGAAAACCCTTCATTTAGCCCCAGGGGAGATAGCGTTTTGAGATGGTAAATCCAAAACGCCTCTCTTTGTCTTAGTTTTAGGTCCCAGTTTCCTTTCCTAGGAGGCTGTGGTACATGTTCAAGACCCATGAACCGGATGCCTGCCGAGGAGTGATTGTGATGTAGATGTAAATGCCTTGAGACGGTGTTTCCAAACGTCTCTTGACAGAATTTACATGTTCACGTATCCTTAGCCTGAAGTGGCGAAAAGTCTTGCCTACATATTTTAGGCCACAGGAGCAAGACAGTAGGTAAACTACTCCTGTTGTGTTACAATTAAAGAAGGAACGTGGTTTGAAATTCATTAAGCCCTTGCTGTCAGAGGCCCTCTTGGTAATAAACGGGCATGCACTGCAGTGACCACATTGGAAAGAACCCATTGGTAGGTATTTTTGAAAATAACCTGACGGGGACGTAGTTGAGAGGTGACTAGGTGCTAGGATATCTCTCAAGTTTTTGCCCCTCCGTGCTGTAATTGAAGGGAGTGATGGCAGAATTTCCTTCAGATGCTTATCTGATTGGAGGATAGGCCAGAATTTTTGAAAGACATTCAGCATAGTGTCCCATCCTGCATCATATGTACCTATGCAGCGTATTTTATTTTCCTCAGTCTTACGACCCCCATCTGTAATTAGGGTTTCCCGTTCAGTGTGGATTGCCCTCAGATAGGCTCTTTTTAGAACCCTATTTGGGTAACCTTTGGCCTTAAACATGTGACGCAGCTCATTTGCTTTTAATTTGAACTCCTCCATCGTGGAGCAGTTTCGTCGAAGTCTCAAATATTGGCCTATTGGGATACCGGATTTGAGTGATATGGGGTGATGACTAGACCAGCATAGCAGGTTATTTGAGGCTGTCTTCTTTCTGTACAAGGTTGTTTCAATTTTGCCTTCTTTAGATACCTGTAGTGCTAGATCTAGAAAGCAAAGGTTTTGACCCCCTACTTCACTAGTGAATCGTAAGTTAAAATCGTTGCTGTTCAGCAGACATACAAATTCTTTGAATCTCTCTGATGTATCAAGCCAAATCAAAAACACATCATCGATGTATCTTTTCCAATAGAAGATCTGATTAGTGTATGATTTCAGCTTAGGATCTGCCCTAATACACCTTTCCCACCAGCCTAGATGGAGATTGGCATATGAGGGCGCACAAGTCGTCCCCATAGCTGTACCAGTGGTCTGGTGGAAGATTTTGCCATTGAACAGAAAGATATTACGAGTCAAAATGAATTCAAGTAATTCCATTACAAAATTCACATAATGTTCAGGTAGGTCAGTTTCAAGATTTAATAGTTGACGGGTATGTTTAATACCTAGGTTATGAGGAATTGAGCTGTAAAGGGCCTCCACGTCAAGGCTACACAGGATAGCGTTTGGAGGTAAAGTAAGGTTGGTCAATAAATGCAACATTTGTTTAGTATCTCTAAGGAAAGATGGTAGCTTCTGTACTACTGGGGACAGAATCTTATCCACATAAATGCTTACATTCTGAGTTAGATTATCACAACCAGAAACTATCGGCCTACCGGTCGGATCGGTTAGTGATTTGTGCACTTTTCACTAGTGAAGTAGGGGGTCAAAACCTTTGCTTTCTAGATCTAGCACTACAGGTATCTAAAGAAGGCAAAATTGAAACAACCTTGTACAGAAAGAAGACAGCCTCAAATAACCTGCTATGCTGGTCTAGTCATCACCCCATATCACTCAAATCCGGTATCCCAATAGGCCAATATTTGAGACTTCGACGAAACTGCTCCACGATGGAGGAGTTCAAATTAAAAGCAAATGAGCTGCGTCACATGTTTAAGGCCAAAGGTTACCCAAATAGGGTTCTGAAAAGAGCCTATCTGAGGGCAATCCACACTGAACGGGAAACCCTAATTACAGATGGGGGTCGTAAGACTGAGGAAAATAAAATACGCTGCATAGGTACATATGATGCAGGATGGGACACTATGCTGAATGTCTTTCAAAAATTCTGGCCTATCCTCCAATCAGATAAGCATCTGAAGGAAATTCTGCCATCACTCCCTTCAATTACAGCACGGAGGGGCAAAAACTTGAGAGATATCCTAGCACCTAGTCACCTCTCAACTACGTCCCCGTCAGGTTATTTTCAAAAATACCTACCAATGGGTTCTTTCCAATGTGGTCACTGCAGTGCATGCCCGTTTATTACCAAGAGGGCCTCTGACAGCAAGGGCTTAATGAATTTCAAACCACGTTCCTTCTTTAATTGTAACACAACAGGAGTAGTTTACCTACTGTCTTGCTCCTGTGGCCTAAAATATGTAGGCAAGACTTTTCGCCACTTCAGGCTAAGGATACGTGAACATGTAAATTCTGTCAAGAGACGTTTGGAAACACCCGTCTCAAGGCATTTACATCTACATCACAATCACTCCTCGGCAGGCATCCGGTTCATGGGTCTTGAACATGTACCACAGCCTCCTAGGAAAGGAAACTGGGACCTAAAACTAAGACAAAGAGAGGCGTTTTGGATTTACCATCTCAAAACGCTATCTCCCCTGGGGCTAAATGAAGGGTTTTCATATTCCCCGTTTATTTAAAGTACTGCAATAATTCTGATAATAAATGGTATCTTAAGTTATGTCTGTATATATGTATATATTCTTTATTTATTTCTATTATATTTGGTGTTCATATGTCCATTAATTTTACCTGTATTATAGGTCTAAGAGTTTAGGGGTCTGTTTTGTGTTGCATAAACTAATGGGTTACTATTTACAGTGGCAATAAAAGAATTGTCGGCTTCTGTGTATGACTGCCCATATAGCCATTGTACTTATCCCTTACTGGTTCACAGCGGTTATAAGTTGTTTCTTTAATTGTACTAAAGCTACACAATACAGCCATAAGAATCAATCCACACACTTGACCTATATGATACAATTTGGACATTCCAAGGGTTAACTGTTAAGCTATGGATACTGCCTTTTAGATATAGTAAGTATCCATTTATATCTGTTCCGGGCGGGGCACTCAAAGGGTTAATTGCCTTTCACCTGATTTCTGTTCTGGCTACCTCTGACATAGAAATGTGGGCTGACACTATGGTGTGTTACACCACAGCCCCATTCACAGGAGGACCGGAGCAATTTAGACACAATCACAGGTGATTACAATAAAGCTTATGAGCTTAAGGTATAAATTTACCACCCGGACAGTTTTTTGCTCACTGCTGATACCCCTGAGGACGGCGTGTGGTCACGCCGAAACGTACGTCGGGTTCTTCTGTGTTTTTAATACTCTCTTGAGCACTTTGCTCTGAGCACCTTTTCATTTATGTTTTTCTAGTATGTGTGTGTACCTGGGGCTTCAGATGTTATGACAGCATTTAGATTAGAACACCCACGAAGGTGTTTTATAGGAGATAGGGTATTAGCATAGCACTACTGTTTGGTTGGGAGTGTGTGTTTCTCCCTTTCCCTGTTCTTTCCTACTGCTTTGTTACCTGAGTTATGTATGGGGGTACATATTGCCTTCTATCCCCTCTCCGTTTCTTGTGAGGGTTGGCTCTTGATTAGCCTTGTTTCTACCATACATATTTCTCCCTATATTATTCTGTCCATCACTGATTACCCAGGTTTTTTAATAGATTTCAATAAAGGCTTTTTTATTTTTTGGCAACTACACTACTATTGAGATTGGACTGGGTATTTACCCTCTGGGCGGTCTTTATATAAGACATCCCTTTTTGGGTTTTTTTTCTTCCTTTTTTCTAATGTTTGATTGTAATAATTCCTTTGGGATAGTCTCACTTTCAGCTGCTTGATTAAACATTTCAGTAAGAGGTTTTAAAAGATAAGATTTCATATATTTATAATAAAGATTTGAAAAACCATCAGGGCCAGGAGTTTTATTTATAGCTAATCTATCAATTTGCAATTGGACTTCCTCCATTGAGATTTTTTTATTCAAAATGGTCAGATCCTGGGAAGAAATTCTGGGAATTCGAGACTGTAATAAATAATTTTTAATGTCCTTTATTTCTGGGGATAGCCTTAAATTGTATAGATCTTGATAAAATTGATTAAACTTTTGACCAATCTCCAATGGAGTGGAGTATACAGTTTGATCCACTACCAATTTTTCTACTCTATTTTTGGCATATTGATTACGAAGCCTTCTAGTGAGACTCTTACTCGCTCTATTACCCGAGATGTAGTAATTTAGTTTTAATTTATTTATATTTGACCTTATTTTCTCCTCTTCCTTTAAATTAATTTGGAGTTGTAGATCCTTTAACTGAGTTCTCAGCTCAAAAGAAGATTGTATTTTATTCAATTTGGAACATGAATAGAATTCAATATATAAGTCGGACAATTTTCTACCTTTATTTTTCTTAAGGAGATAGTCTAATTTAATTATATAACACCTCATTACAGATTTATGGGAACACCAATTTATTAAGGGAGAGGTGTCTTGCGGATCATTTTCTGCCCAAAAATATTCCAATAATTTAGTCAAATCCTCCCTTTTCTTGGAATCCTTCAAAATGTCATCATTTAATCTCCAAGTGTTACGAGGAAAAGGTGGAGAATTACCAAGGTCAAATACAACAAAACTGTGGTCTGACCATGTATTTTCTTTAAGATCAATATAATTAAAAAGCGGAATCGTTGTAGCATTTGTTAAACAAAAATCGATCCGGGAATATGTTCCATGAACACCGGATAAGTGAGAGAAGTCTCTTTTAAGAGGATGAAGTAATCTCCAAATATCATATAGATTATACTGCCTACATATATTATTTAATCTTTTGGCTTGCTTAGTGGGACCTGTATTAGCATTAGATAAGAGGGGTAATGTAGTTCTGTCCAAAAATGGATCACCAACACAATTAAAATCACCAGCGACAATCAAATATCCCTTATTAATTTTGTCCACTTTATCCATTATCAAAGAAAATTTAGTCATTGGATCAACATTAGGTAAATACACGTTGACCAGTGTATAAATTTTATCTTCAATCTTACATACCAAAATAATAAACCTCGCTTCTGGATCAAATTCAGTATGTAGAATTTCTACGTTAATATCTGCTAAATATAATTGCCACACCTCTTTTTTTATTTTTAATTAGTGAGGCAAAAATCGATCCGGGAATATGTTCCATGAACACCGGATAAGTGAGAGAAGTCTCTTTTAAGAGGATGAAGTAATCTCCAAATATCATATAGATTATACTGCCTACATATATTATTTAATCTTTTGGCTTGCTTAGTGGGACCTGTATTAGCATTAGATAAGAGGGGTAATGTAATTCTGTCCAAAAATGGATCACCAACACAATTAAAATCACCAGCGATAATCAAATATCCCTTATTAATTTTGTCCACTTTATCCATTATCAAAGAAAATTTAGTCATTGGATCAACATTAGGTAAATACACGTTGACCAGTGTATAAATTTTATCTTCAATCTTACATACCAAAATAATAAACCTCGCTTCTGGATCAAATTCAGTATGTAGAATTTCTACGTTAATATCTTTGCTAAATATAATTGCCACACCTCTTTTTTTATTTTTAATTAGTGAGGCATGAATCGCCGTTACAAATTTATCACCACCCCATGTTTGTTTGGTGTCTTTAAGCCAATGCGTTTCTTGTAAAAAAGCTACCTGGATTTTTTGTTTTATCAGGGAATCATACAGTCTATATCTTTTTTTGTTCGTGTTAAGGCCCTGAACGTTCAAAGATAGAAACTTCAACATATAATCTCCTCAAAAAAAATATTTTTTGGACTTCCAGAAAAAACCAAAAAAAAAACCAACAAGAGTTACAACATATACTCCCAGTCGTTGGGCTATAAATAAGACCAACAACATCATTCGTCCAACTATTAGGTAAATACCTAATACTGCAATAATCATTGACATCCCTATTGGGGCAATGAAAATAGAGTAACATGACTACACAAGAGTGGAAACCCCGAACCATGCCTGAGTTGAAAACCTACCACTACAAAAATGACCTCTCTCTGTCTTAAAGTCTCCCTAATAAAAGGAGAAGGGGAGAGATACTGCCCAAGAGATTTTATATCAAAGTGTATAAAAAATAATAAATAAATATATAGTGAATAAAGATATCAATACTCATTCAATTACCTTAAACCTAGAGCTTATACCATCATTCTATTAAGTGACAGTCATTAATACTTAGTGTAATAAACATGTGAAAGAATTGAGTTTAAAATGTGAACTAGCCCCAAAAGAGGCAAATATATATTTCTTTTCAAATATTAACTTCTTCTGGAAAAGTTATTACATTAGTATGCATAAAATAACAAGTTTTCTTAAGCATATGTGAGTTACTTGTATACTATGTGAAAAAAATATTAATAATCTTCTCTTAAGCTTTCTTCTTCCCCACCTCCCTCCCAAACTCATATTCATGTTTATATTCTTATGTTGCTGGGGAGAAAAGTAAGTTGTTAATGATTTGTCTTGAGGTTTATCTTGAATAAGATCTTTTTTATCTTTCCTTGAGGAGGATTTAGTTTCGTGAAATTTTTTCGAAGCCATGTTATAAAAGTTTTGAACCTGAGAAAGCGTCAGCCCATTAGCAATTATTCTATATACAAATTGTTTTTTTTCTTTCCCTTTTTTTCTTTTTCTTTTTTTTTTTATGTGTTTTTTTTTTCCTTTTTCTCCTTCCTCTTTCCTTTTCCTCTTTTATGTAGTTTGTGCAATTTAATGCCTGTTACTTTCACTTTATTTTCTCCTTATTTTGTCTTCCTCCTTATTTTCCTTTTTTCTTTCTTTTTTCTTCCCTTTTCTTCTCCTTTTCTTCCCTTCTCCTTTTTTCCTTTCTTTTCCCTTCCCTCTTCCTTCTTCTCCTTTTCTTATTCTTCTTCCCTCTAGTTCTCTAGTTCTCTCCTCTTAAATAAAGTGTCTTTCCCCTTCTTTTCAATCTCAGTGTCCTTTCCTTGTATTTCCACTTTCCACTTTCCCTTTAAAATTCACTTTGTTTGCTTTTTACTTTACTTTACTTTATTTTATTTTATTCCTTTAGTACTCCCTTTATCTCTTCTCTCTCCTGCTCCTTTATCTTGAGTATTATCTAGTTCTAAATAGTATCCCAAATGATAGGGACTTTAAGAATTAGATAACAATATCAGCAGCATTTCCTCTGATTGTATATAAACGATATATTATAGTAGTGTTGAATTAAAACCACTTATAATTTTCTTTTCTACGCCAAGTTGACACTGCAAAATTTTACTTGTTACCACATATAAGCAGTTATTATAGAAATTTAAACTGCAAAATTGCAGAATTGTCAAAATATAAAAAGATACTGCACCATGGTATTACTGGCGTCTGTATGGCGTTTGTGTGGAATTTGATCACACGTGGTTTTCTTAGCCAACTCCTCCAAGGACTAACAAAGAGAAATGGAGATGCCCGCGGTGTTCAGAGTGATCGGAGCACAAAAAGTGCGAGGTCTGCAGGTAGGAAGTAGATGGAGAGATATGTAGAGGCTTACAGGTCTTTGCTTAGGCGGCAGAGAGAGGCATTTAGGAATGGCAGCCGTAGATACCTCGGCAGAGCATGGCGGGTTCCCCTCCTACTCCGTCATCACGGCGAGCGTCCGACTGCACGCCCCCACGTCATGACGCCTCCGCCACTAGTTATTTTAATGAACATAGGGGTTTGGGATAAAATCAGGTAAATGTAAGTCCATTCCCTGCTGCTATGAGCCCAATAGCATGCCTCCACTCATTGATTCTGGCTCTGCTGCCCCCCTTTCTCTTTATTTATATCCCTTTCCCCTCTCTTTCTCTTTCTCATATCCTCTTTCTCTCTATATATTTCTCTCTCCCTTTCTCTCTCTCACCCTTTCTCTCCCCCTCCCTTTCTCCTTCTTTCTCCCTTTCTCTCTCTCTCTCTCCCTCCCTTTCTCTTTCTCACTCCTTTTCTCTCTCTCTACTTTCTCTTTCTCTCTCGCTACCTTTCCATTTCTCCCTTTCTTTTTCTTTCCCTGTTTTTCTCTCTCCCTTTCTATTTCACTCACTCTCTCTACCCCTTTCTCTCTGCCCCCTCTCTCTTTATAATACACCCTCTTATATCACAGTCTAAAATGTGTTTATTTGTGATGCTGCTCTATTTGATTTCACTTTCTATCTCTTCCGTTCTCTGTCTTGCTCTCACTTCATTTCTCTTTCTCTCTCTCCCTTTTTCTTTCTCTCACCCTTTCTCGTTCTCTCTCCCCTTTCTCTTTCTCTCTTTCTCTCTCTCTCTCTCTCTTTCTCTATATTCCTTTCTCTCTCTCCTTTCTCTTTCTCATTTTCTGTTGCTTCATTTTTCTTTCTCTCTATCCCTTTCTATTTCTTTCTCTCTCCTTTTTTTCTTTCTCTCTTTCTTTCTCTCTGTTGTTTTCTCTCACTTAATTTCTCTTTCTCTCTCTCTCCTTTTCTCTTTCTCCCTTTCTTTTTCTCTCTCTATTTCTCTTTATTTCTCTCCCTTTCTCTGTCTCTCTCATTTTCTCTTTCTCTATCTCCCTTTCTATTTCTTTCATTCTTTCTTTCTCCCTTTTCTCTTTCACTCACTCTCTCTACCTCTTTCTCTCCACTCCCTTTCTCTTTGTAATGCACTAGGAAAACAATCTTATGGCAAACTCTTTCTTTCTTTCTTTCTTTCTTTCTCTCTCTATCTCTTCCTTTATCTTTCTCTCTCTCTCCCTTTCTATTTCTTTCTTTCTTTCCCCCTTTCCCCTTTTCTTCTCTCTCCTTCATGTGATGCTGCTCATTTGATTTCTCTTTCTCTCTCTTCATTTCTCTTTCTCCTTTCTCTTTCTCTCTCCCTTTCTATTTCTTTCTCTTTCTTTCCCTTTCTATTTCTTTCTCTCTCTTTCCCTTTCTCTCTCTCATCCTTTCTCTCTCTCCCCCTTTCTCTTTCTCTCTCTCCCTTTCTCTTTCCCCTCTCTCTCTTTGTTTCTCTTTCTCTATCTCTCCCTTTCTCTTTCTTTCTTTCCCTTTTTCTTTCTCTCTCTTCATGTGATGCTGCTCATTTGATTTCTCTTTCTCTCTCTTCATTTCTCTTTCTCTTTCTCCTTTTCTCTTTTTCTTTCTCTCTCTCCCTTTCTATTTCTTTCTCTCTCTTTCCCTTTCTTCTTTCTCCTTTTCTCTTCTCCTCTCTCTCCCTTTCTCTTTCTCTCTCTTTCCATTTCTCTTTCTCTTTCTTTCCCTTTATCTCTCTCTCCCTTTCTCTTTCTCTCTCTTTCCATTTCTCTTTCTCTTTCTTTCCCTTTATCTCTCTCCCTTTCTCTTTCTATCTCTTTCCATTTCTCTTTCTCTTTCTTTCCCTTTATCTCTCT